AATGATCTATACAGTCCAGTGAAATGAACGGGATTTTTGACCACGGAATAGCAAGTGGTTTAAAGTATGCACAACCAAAGAAATATACACTGAAAGCCACTGCTACAACAGAGCCCAACAAATAATACCTCATCACTCCATGTTGATCGGAGCTCATCCGAGGTACACGTTTTGACGTTGATTTATCAACAAAGAAATATTTATTGAAGTGCAATCTGTAGATGACATCGGAAGTGGCATTTGGTACATCCTAGAGCAAGTGGTCCACCACTATGGATTNTGGATTGTTTCGATTGAGGCTTGTGTTACGCATATCACCAGGAAGGTTGCCACAGTGAGCGATGTTCGCCGAGGCACGTATTGCGCGAAGAAAGCCAACGAGGGTCAAGCTAAGACCTGGTATGAGGGTAGAAATCCTTGACTAGGAGTCTGAGTCACATAGGTCCCCTTAGGCTCCCTGGATGGGGACCTCGGGATGGTAGTAACCGATGGTTAGAGATACTAATTGATATGGCTGGGTATCGTAAACAGTGGAGTCTGTGCATCTTCTCAATTTGGTTGCATCATTAGTCCACTGAACGTCTCAATTTTCTCTTCGATCCTACTATCAACCATCTTGTTTTCCTCATATTGTTCACCCAAATGGGCAGCCAAAAGACAACGCATGGAAGCAACGCATGGAAGTGTGTAAACTGAACTGAACTGAACTGAAGTTATATCCTCCAAGTTACTGGGCTCGCAATCTAAAGCGATTAATCAGGGATATTCATGTGGCGTTGGTTTCTCTTGGACTTGTGTGATGTATATCATCCATAACATCATCCAGCACCAGCTTGACCGATCCCATTTCGCGAATTATAAGGTCTGATGTCATTTTCCAAATCATTCTTTTGTACACAACCCAATGGTTTTCGTTTAACTCTCCTTGAACGTGTCAGGGATTTGGGGACACACGCGATTCTGTATGAAACCTGTTGGTAATTATAAGCCAAAATGTGTTATTAGAAACGCAATGTGTAAATATATTTAATGTATATAACATAAGTGTACAAAACCAGTCTGATTCACTTCTCTTCTGTATCCAGTAGTTTAGTTGCTCTCCGAAGGGATTTGATTTCTCAGGGGCATGTGGTGCTTGCGATTTGTGTGTCTGTGTGCTCGGCCATGCGACGGACTACGATGAAGGAGAACAAAGACAACGGGAACGATTGATGAGGCACGATTTCCTGCCAGATCGTGCAATAGTACAGTCTACCAAAATCCTGAAGAACACATTGTACGTATCCGACAGTTCGCTATGGTAATACACACCGCAAGAGACACACAGACAAGCACGAAACATGGTGTGGTGCTCTGATTGTCGTTAGTTCAGGTGCTTACAGTTTGAATGTTCTTGAGGTAAATGCGTGGAAAGTGGGCTCACTGGTGACGACCGACGCACTTTGGACATCGGTCAATGGAATGTGTGAATATGCGAATAGTCCATAGTTGTTTGGCGAACTTTTGCCCAATAATAATGACCGGGTTAAATCCGGAGCATATTGCACTGGATCCATTTGAGGTGAGTTGTAGGGTTCAAGTTCTAAACAACTGGTCTGATCCATTGTCTGGTCAACCCACAAATAGCGAGCCGGATTGGACTTCAACGGTTCTGGAATGTTTGGATCCGAAAGAAGTGGGGGTTCAACCCCGTGAACAGAATTAGTCAATGAAATATCCAGGGTTGGCCGCATGGTCAATGTTGAATTCAGGTTGTTTGCCTCAGTCACAGTGGAGGTGGTTTGTGTGCTTTCTTTCAGCGAGTCGTACATTCGTATTGTACCACCGGTCATTGTATGAGGTCGTCGACGATGTGTGTCATCTGACCGATGATGGAGACGCGAAGGTGAATGGGACATCGTTGGAGGACAACAGCGACGACCGTTGTTATGCTGATGGCGGNGGCGACGACACCAGCAGGCTAGAAAAGCAGCTGCCACCACTGAGCTGAGGAGAAGAATGAACGCACACGCCGATCCAATAAACACGGTGGAGCTCTGAAAGCCACTGAATCGAGTCAAAAGACCGGCACTAGCAAACCAAGATTCTGGAGCACTGGG